CAAGGACAGCCGGGCCCAGGGGGTTCGGGGCCCCGACTGTCCGAGCGGTCTGGCTACATGCCCCTCGCTGGAAGCTCTAGAGCGAACAGTCTGTACAGGCCCAAGGTCAGCTGACCCCCGCTGGAATCCAGGGACCGCTGGGTCACCAATTAGAGGCTGTTCTTCTCATTAATTATTCGCCTCCCTTCTGTATTGGAAGCTAATGTGAAGATCCACACAGCTGCTGAGAGTTTATTAATACTGGGCCGTCACGTTAGGAATCCTCCCATCTGCTAGAGGGCAGCACCTCCGTTTGAAGGCATGGCCTGGTTTTAAGCAACTAGAGATCCTGGTCCACAGCCTTAACTTCAGTACTCAGGGCTTCTTTTCATTTGATGTATTCCTATGTATTCCGTGCCATTGCCTCTGAAGACGCCTCACATGTGATCCTGGTTACTTTAGTCCTTGTTTACATTTATGTTTTGTGCCCAAACTTGTAGCCTCAAGGATGGCCGCCCAGCTACGGAACCAGCAACGCTACCTGCTGACCTGCACTGCTTGAACAAAAAGCAGCAAACAACTGCCTGTGTGACGCTACATGGTTACATGCCACCCTGCTATCACCCATAGCAACAGGTAGAACTTTCTGGGAGCAGAACATGGTCAGGAAGCTTGGTAGAACCTTGAGGTCTAGAAGTTCACATCCTAAGTGTGACATTATGGTACCATTAACCTCCCCCCCCCCCCCCCCCCCACCAACACACACACACCCTTGAAGAATCTTCAGTTTATAAAATGCTGCACAAGTTTGTTTTTTCCACTTTGAAGAGAGTCGATGGGAGGTGATCACATTAACATTTCTTCAGGGTCAGGGTAATAACTCACCATTATGACATCGGTGCCGTACACTACTGAAAGCCTGACCCTTTTCTTGAAAGGGATTGCTTTCCTTTTACACATATTGTGAACATTTTAGGCGCTGTAACATGATCACAATGTTCCCTCAAGGTTGCAAGCACAACAGCGCTAGGCAGTACGCAGTGTGATCCTTAGCCTGTACTGTACATCTGTCCTCTTCACGCACACTTGACCTTGTAGACGAAATGCTTTCAAAGCAAACTGTAAAAAGCACAGGCACATCTGTAAAATCTGCAAAAGACAGTAATAAGAGACCAACAAGGGGCCCCCTGTGGTCACACACCGACCCACATACTCCGTTCGGATCGGCAGATTGTCGAGCGGTAATCACACCTTCCGGAAGCGTGTTGCCACAAAACACTGGCATATGCATGTGCTTGTGTTTTGCTGAACGGTGCATAGACTGTGGCAGTGTCTCCTGCCCTCGAAAGGTAGAGTAACTGACCTTCCCAAAATGTTAGCCACCCAGCGCCAGACCACATGCACTTCTCCCTCCGTCCTACAGGAGGCCTGGAGGACATCCCGGCTCTGAGCTCTGTGGAGCAGGGGTGCTGAGCAGGGCAGCCATATTGCAGAGGGAATGATAAGTAGGGCTTCACTGACCACAGCGGGTGCCAGTCAGCTGACAGGCCTGTCCCCAGGTCAGTGGGCTGAGTAGCGGCTCGCTTCAATTTCCTTTCAATGCTGTCATATTTCACTGCTCATTTCCTCAGTGTCCTCATTGTCAGGACAGACTCACCCTGCACAAAGAGCCCAACCAGATGATGCCTGGTTTCCATGGCAATGCTCGCCTCCCAGGACTCAACCGCACATCCCTCTGGATGTGACCAGAGGCTCCCCTTTCTCCCAGCTCCCGGAAGCTGCCCTCAGCCCCAGCCAGTTACTGTGGTGCTGCCACTCCAATATCTCTGATACCCTGAGACATGATCCAGGCAAGCCCATCTCACATCATTTTATATGGAGTGTGTATGAATGTAAATGAAAGGCTCTGATCCACAGCCTCCCTGTATAAGTGCATGAGCATTTGAGTGTAAACCATTGCATCGCTTTTTCGCTCAGCATGTGCCTGACATCTAGATGCTGTCCCATACCAGTGTCGCTACTCTGTGATCCCAGTTGGTCCATCTGAGCTCCCTAAGTCCTCATCCAGAAGCAAATGATTGCGGCTCTCTGACTGCCAGAGCAGGCGGCCGCTCTTCTGCGTGCGGCAGGCTTCCTCAAAGCTTCATGTCAAAGCTTCCCTCAGAAAAATCCTCACATGCTTCCATAAACCATCCGCCTCACATCCCACTGACTGCATGTCAAGAGTGGCCACATCACCCACACGAAAAACTTCCTTGGATTTCAGAACTTAGTCATATCCTTCTTAGTCTTCTAACTGTGACATATGCTATGTGCAGCCATAGAGAACACCCACCCACAGAGGCATTGGAGGGGTATGGATATCCTGGCAGATTCAGGGGGCTCAACACCCGACAGAGGCCCCTAAATACGTAAAATGATATGGGGGCATCGTGACATTTTGTCAGGACGCCCAGGATAGTAATGGCCTTGCACATAAGTCAGTTTAGAGACCGTGTCAGAGGTCACTGTAGACTAAGCAAACCTGAGTCCTGAGTATTATAAAGTACTACAAGACAGAGCATACCATCTTGAGTATTATTTAAAAAATAATAAACAATAATACTCATAGTCAAAATGTACACTGCCGATTAACACAAAGCACAACAAAACATACTGTCCCAAGAGTCACAAAAGAATCTTATACAGAATGAACAAACTATCCCATCAAGAGATACTTCTAGACAAAACATACTGCCCTGAGAATCACAAAACATACTATCCCATCAAGAGATAGTGGTAGACGAAACATACTATACAGAGCATTAGAAAATAGCTACAAAGTGTATCCCACTGAGCATTACAGCGGCGTTAGTCAAAACATACTGTCCTGAGCATTACAGCGCATTGCTAGACATTTCTATGGTCATTGAACCCAAGGCAGGATATAACACAGAAACGACTTTTAACAAACACAGTCCCAGAGACATTACGCAAGCAGCTCTCTGGCTTCTAGCCAGTATTTCACAAGCGCTTGCCCCCTCCCCCCCCCCAGTTAGCGTTCGTGACCCTCTATGTGCCGCGGGTGAACTGTGCCTCGCGGGGTCCAGCGATCGCGTCAGTGCTGAGGAATGTCAGGGCCTACGACTGGTCTTAGAATAGGCCTGAGTACTGGCGTACGACTCTGCATATGCTGTCGTGTGTATTTGTCAGGGTGTAGGAAGGCTTCGAGCGATGTACATATCGAAAGGGAACAACCAAGACAATTACCGTATATATCATCATTCTGTTGACAAGGCTGCAACATTTTCCCCCCATTTTTTAAATCCCATATGAAGTTTCCATTCATATTGCGACTCACGACTGCAGCTGATGATGTGAGGCTATTGGTGCCATTTGTTAAATTACATTAAAATGCTTTTTATATTAGCCTTGTGCAACCGACTTACAAGTTGCAGTGCCAATTAGCTTGCCTTGTTTTCATAATCAATAAGTAAGTGACACATCAGGTTAAAAACATTTCATTTGGACTTTATTTACATTAAATTAAGTAGTCATTACTCGCTTTACAGGCCAGACAGCTTCATTATGCGTAGCTACTGCAGATATTTAGGTATATTCTCAGGTGCTGTTTCAAACAAAGCTTCACCAGGAAAATCCAGAAGACAGATGTTCCCATTTGGCAGAAATCGCTCTCTGCCATTTGATTCAGCTTTACTGCAGGCTACTTTGAAGCTTTAATTACATGCTTAAAATGTCAGGATTTCTCTATGTGTACATTTACGGGTTTTATATATAATGATTTTATATGTGATTTCACTACTAAAACCCCCCCTGTATTGTACCAGTGCTCAGTCTGATGTGTAATTAACAATATAATTTCGCACAAAAAAAAACATTAAAGAAACTGAGGTGATATTTAAGATATTACAGATCTGACAGCTGACAGTGATAAAGTGTGAGTGCTGCAGCGCGAGCGGATTTCAGACACAAACTCCTCAAAGATCGCAGAAGGAATCCAAATTAATTTAACTCAGCAATATTCAGTTCTCACTCGTGTTGTGAAGTGCTCTTAGACGTTTTAAACACGAGGGATTTCAAAATGTGTCAGTTAACGGTAAACAAATCGCTACGAAACGGAGTGATTTTCTATCCTTTCAGCAGTTTAAGAAAGACACAAATATACTGAAAATGCAGCTGGCTAAACCTCTCATTAATCCACACTGCACTTTTTTCTGGATTTTCATTTTCTTTGAAATATTCATAAGCGGTTGCAGAGTCAAAATCATCTGTGAGGTTAATCCATCTCCCCCACGCCGGGGACATCTGCTGGATTATCATGTCGCATGATACATCGGGATTGTCCAAGCGCTCAACGATGTTCTAAGTTCACAACCTGTATCATATAAAAACTGCAGCTTTGTACCAATCTGAACTTCTCTACACATAAATGATGGATTACCTGTAAAATTTCCCATTAACCTATTAAATAAATTACTAAATCGCGTCTAATTACCTGTAAATGGATCTGTTGGACTTTATTTTAGTAATTCCTGTTTCAGAGGTGAGAAAAAGTCTTAGGTTGCCAGTATATTATGCATTTAACTATGTCACGTGCATTAACTTTGTTGTAAGTTGTCTACGTTGCTGTCACGTTATTGATGGCAAAAATGTGACATAAAATTATGAAAAAAAAATGCACTGAAAAATAATGGTATTTATCATTAATATTATCTTGCATGTCACAAATTCAATGTGCCAGTCCATCGCAGGGGACACCCCGGATGGGACGCCAGTCCATCGCAGGGGACACCCTGGACTGGCTGACAGTCAATCAGAAGGGACTTTGCTTTGTTACACACTGAGGTCCATTTAGATTTTACAATTCACCTTACAGTATATTCCTTTTAATTGGTTGTGAGCTTTACTGTTGAATAGGAAAAGCAAAAACAGAATGTAGAAAATCAACGTGAGACTGCTAGTGACTTTGTCTTGCACGGATAGGCGGTGTGTGCATGCGTGCACACGTGCGGGACACCTACGGCTGGCACAGCTTGATCAGGTCCTGGTCCGTGGTTCCGGGTGGCAGACCTCGGATGTACAGGTTGGTCTTACTGAGCTGCTCAGCTGCGCTGTGGCTGCTGCTGTTGGTGCTGGGGCTGGGTGGGGCCATGGGGTGAGGGGGAGGAGCATAAGACTGCTGCAAGAGAGGAGGGGAGGGGCCTGCGTCAGACCAGCGGCTCAATCACAGCCGTTCGTGCACAGCAGGAGTACAGTAAAGCGTATCTCATAAACAGTTATATATAATGCATGGCAGTATATACAACACGTATATAAACAACCCATTCATCCGGAGCACCCTACAGAACTTGCTATATAAATCCATAAATACTGAAAACTCAAACACATTCTGAGCCAAGGGCAATGGGCTATGATTCCATCCATCATATATGGCTGGGCACAGGCCTCGGAACAGCACCGATGAAGTGCTAGGAGATAAATGCGTGTTCCTCTGTTTGAAGCAAACTGGTCAGTCTGGGCTCTTTTTGAAGCTGAAATGCAGGGCAGGCAGGCAGCCGGATTTATCTGCATCCTTAAAATGTGACCCTGCTAGTCCGGAACTCCTAGCAAATCAATGCCCTTGGGGGTGGGGGGTAACATGACTTGATAGTGCAGTTTGTTTCCTAACTTCCCTATTCAGGCCACAATTTCAGCTTCACTCCCTTCCTCAGGATGCACACACACGCACACAAACATGCACGCACACACACACACACACACAAACATGCATGCACACACACACACACACACACAAACATGCACGCACACACACACACACACATGCACACAAACATGCATGCACACACACACACACACACACAAACATGCACGCACACACACACACACACACACACACACACATGCACGC